GAAACTACCTTAGCAGTAAAAAAAAAACCTCTGACTGAAAATGGGAAAGTTCCCTATACCATCCCTCACGTATCTGGGACCTCAGGATAGACTGAAAATATATATGGAAAGCGAACTAACAATTGCCACGTGGCACGAGGCGAACTCCCCATTGAATTGCGTTTGGCCCTTTGTGTGCGCGTGAGCAACGCATAAAAAAAAATTCTAGGGGGAGGGGGTCCCATAGAAAAGAGAACAATGTAAGTACGCTTTGCCCTTCTGCCGAAAAGAACTTTGGAATAAAATGGGGAAAACGTCTGGGGACCACAGCAGCTGGAATAATCCTCCGGAAAAAAATTGGTACGTTACTATTCTGCAAGCAATGCAAATCTTTAAAATAGTTGAATCAGACTTTAATAAAAATTATCTAATCTAAAATTATCATTGAAGTAAAATTTTACTTTCCTCCTTTAATACGGGCATATTTCTATCTCAAAATATGAAGATAAAATGCTGCGATGTTTTAAAATGCTACGGTGTTTTAAAAAATATAATCACAATTTGTTTTTAAAAACTCTTGAAATTAAGCCATTAATATTTCCGTTAAAGTAAAATTTTTATAATTTGAAGATCAGTACTATAAATTCATAATTTCCAATTATTCTGCAAGATTTTACTTTCGTATTTATTTAGTTCAAAAATTAAAGATTTTAATTTTTGGAATAATACAATTTCATACCAGCCTGCTTTTGATCTTTCCGATTATGGTTTTTCCTAGGTGATTCTTTTAGTAAAATTAAATTACAGATAGAAATATATTTTAACTTGAAAGCTAAAATATCCTATCATATGATTATCACACATTTACACATGCGTTTATAATTTATAAATAGTGGTGGTCAAATATAATTCAAATTTTATTTTATTACATATTTTACTGCTACTTCAAATATTAAATAAAATTTCACGCAAAATACATATAAGCATCCAGTTATATTATTAATTTTGCAGTTTTAGACATTTAATTTATGATCGCTATTACATACTAAAATTTCCTACTTAGAAAAAGCAAGATAATTTGACAATTGTGAGTTTAGGCTCTGGTAAAATAGAGAAAATAATTCTGTCTGCAATTACAATTCAATTTTTTCGCTATCAACAGGCAAAATTATCCTTGCAGGAAGCCAAAATAAATATTGCCTTAATAGTTATAAGTAAATATTTAAATTAATTTCCAAATTTTACACCATCATATTCTCCGAAATTCTTAGTTTTGGGCTTATTTCGCAAATTTTTAAAATGGTAGTGATAACTTAAGAGCTTTCATTTAAAATTATTTTTACTACGACTCTATATAAACTAAAAACAGACAATAGACCAGCTAATAAAAGCCCAGGCCAACTTTTAAAAATGTACTATTATTCCACTTCCATTTTAACCAGAACTTCCGGGTAGGCAAAACTGCATTGCTCACTCGGATATATATACGTTACTAAATTTATAAAATTTTGACAAGGCAAATTTTAACAGTTGCAGAAATGCGGAGATTGAACAACTACTACTTCAGTTAACGTGAATAGGGTAAAATTAAAAATACGTTTATATAAAATGTGAATAACATTTTTAAGGGCGTAAAAAACTTATGAACTAAAGGGCTTAAAAAAGATAAGAGAACGTGTTAAGGTCATTTGACGAAACTTAAATCTATTCGAAAATTATCTTCCTCTACTAAAAATAAAATGAGGGGAAAATTTATTAAACATTTGAATAATTCGTGGTTATGAAATACAACATTTCTCGGTTAAAGGTAAAATCTTCCAAACAAAAATTTAGTACTTATTTGCAGTTATCTATACCTAAAAGGAACCTATAATACCTATAATTCATCATCAAAAACAAACAAAATCAATTTATAGTTTGACATTTACAAAATCAATACTTTTTGAATCTGAATGAAAAGAAAATACTTCAAACTGCTTTTTTGGACTTAAGATTATTTAATCATATTCGCATCAATATCTTAAGATGTTTTAGTAACTATTAGACAATTTTATAATTAAAAAATATTGAAATGTATTTTTGCTTATTAATAGAGTAAAAAAATAGATATAAAAAGCACACCCGTGTCTTCAGGGGTCTGTCCAGACATTGTGAAAGGTCCGTTTTTCGTGAAATTGTGAAAAAATTACTCACATTCTTTCAACCAGGGTCCGCTTTTATGAATTTGTGCAAATAGGGTCCGTTATTGCAAAAAAAAACTTTTTCAAGGAGTTTTTAAATTGTAAAGACATACAAGATTATGCTCAACACTGTAAAATTATAATTAAAAAAATTAAATTTTAAAAAATAAACAACAATTGCTGCTTCTAAATTAGAGATGCAACATACAAATATTTGGTATTTAGCCTATACTGCTGAACGCAGAATATTAATTTCGGACGAATAATGGAAGAATCGTCTGCCGAAGACAAAACTTAATTCGTTTACATCCATCTTTCTTGTTTTCTGCCCAGGAAAGGGTTTATTCGATTAACAAAATAATAATGAAGATAAACAAATTTGTGAAGGGTCCGATTATAAGAAAAATCATTGTGAAGGGTCCGTTTTTATGAAAAGATATTTTGTGAAGGGTCCGTTAACGGACCCAAATTTCTTCTAAACAGACTCCTGGTCTTATCGGCGTCAAAGAGTTAAAAAAACTTTCCATACACATTACAGGAGACCAAAGCCTAAAATTTGATTAGCAATACTAAATATGAATAGTTAATTGCAATTAAATATTTCGCACGGCTATTTCAGTTTTAGAAATTTATAAATTATAAACTTTAACAAATTGTAAAATTGGAGACTTATGAAATTTTAGAAATATAGTAATTGCTCAACATTTAGTGCAAAATTCTCAATTTATAGCCTAGATATAAAATACTTTTTTAAGATACACATCGTAAGCTGTTTTAGTCCTATTCATTGAAAAGAAATTTGTAATTTATCTACAGAGCGGGTGACACTTAAAATCCGGTGAACATCTTAGATTTGCCTAGAAGAAAAATAATGCTGCAAAATTGACACATATTGTAACGCGAAAACAAGTTTCCGTTAATTTCATTTTTTTTAATTCAGAAATAATTTCAATAGAGCCCAGACCTAAAATTGACACAAAACTGAGCTATATGTTCTGTCGCAGAAATCTCATCTTACCAGCAGATATTTTAAATTTCTAAAACTTGTATATGTTTATTATGAACTAATGATTAAATTATTCTTACCGCACCTAATTACAGCGTACTTTTAAATTCTTAGAGTTATCTTTCAAACTAAAAATTTTAATAAATCAGGGTTGGGAAAAATTCCATGAATAACGGCATGAAATTCAATAAAGCAATAGGTTTCTATTTACGTTTTTTACTGCAGCAAGCAATGAATTTACCAAGATAAAGAAAACTCATTGTCAAAAGTCGTTCACCAATAATATGCATAGTTCCAGATATTGCATAATTTTATTTAAAAACAAAAACATTGATGTGGGGATGTTCAATTTTATTATAAGTTATTTCGACACAACTTAATCAATTTGGTTACAATAATTTTATTTATACTTTTCATGCATAGTTGCATTTCAATGTTGCGTAACTGTTTAAAAGTTACATGATAGTTTATTTAGAGTAACAAGTTTATTTAGAGCAACAAAGTTTAAACTCAAAACTAAATTTTGAAAAGAAATAATAATTTTATTCTATTTGGTTCAGCTCAAACAAAACGTAACAAAATTAAGTTAAAAGTTTAAAAAAATTTAGTCTAAACCGGGGTTTCAACCAGCAGACAATGAGCAAAACGTATTATGATTTGTAAACAAATTTATATAAATATATATACGTAACTTATTTAAGTACGTAACGTACTTAACATAAATGTTAGTTTGAGGAGAGCCCTAACACTGGTAATAGCCCACATTAATGTTTTTTAGAAAAGTATGAATGCCAAAATAAAACAGTCCTAACTTATTGAGAACATGAAAACAAAGTTGTTTTATGAAAAAGCAAAAATCAGCGGCTAATCCGGAATGTGAAATTTTTTTTTTTTATAACGTACTAAATCCAAAATTACAGCAAGTTATGGGATTGAAGGTAGGAAAAGACATGTACGAATTCGACAAAATATCTAACCCTGAGCTATTAAAAATACAACTTAATCCTTAATTCCACTTCTAGTTATATAATAATTAAGCTTTTGAATATTAAAATGTTTAAAGAATTATGTAATATAATATTCATAATTATATGCATATTAACAGCTTTGAGGGTTACTCTTTAGCACTAATTTGACAACATTAACTATTATCAGGGGTCTGTCCAGACATTTTGTGAAAGGTCCGTTTTTCGTGAAATTGTGAAAAAATTACTCACATTCTTTCAACCAGGGTCCGCTTTTATGAATTTGTGCAAATAGGATCCGGTTATTGCAAAAACTTTTTCAAGGGGTTTTTAAATTGTAAATAGATACAAGATTATGCTCGGTACTGTAAAAATATAATAAAAAAATTAAATTTTCAAAAATAAACAGCAATTGCTGCTTCTAAATTAGAGGTGCAACATTTGGTATTTAGCCTATACTGCTGAACGCAGAATGCTAATTTCGGACGAATAATGGAAGAATCGTCTGCTGAAGACAAAACTTAATTCGTTTACATCCATCTTTCTTGTTTTCTGCCCTGGGAAGGGTTTATTCGATTAACAAAATTATAATGAAGATAAACAAATTTGTGAAGGGTCCGATTAAAAGAAAAATCATTGTGAAGGGTCCGTTTTTATGAAAAGATATTTTGTGAAGGGTCCGTTAACGGACCCAAATTTCTTCTAAACAGACCCCTGCTATTATCAAATGTTTTTCTTAGACTCCATGATGTAATATAAATCTCTTAAAAACTTTATAATGTACCAGAAAGAAAACGCCATATATTTTTTTCTCATTTTAATATAGCAATTATATCAATATATATTAATCAACTTACATTATTTACTTACTTATTTTAAAGAAAATTCTACTTTTATCTTTAGAGGTCCGTTAACTAAATGTTTTTCGTTACGCTTTCTAGCTGAAGACTAATTCCAACTAAAGAAATAAAATTTTATTAAGGAAGTGAGCTTATAAACATCAAATTTGTAATGAGCTTACCGAAAATTATTAACAACAAAGTGATGTTATTGAAATTAATTAGGAAAAGGTACGCCTTAAATATAATTTTTTTTATTTTTAGAAGAAAAATAAATTAGGAATAAATATATTTAGGAATAGCGAAGACTAAAAACTTGCAAAATTTAAAGATACTGAGTTCCAAGACTTAAAAATATTTATACACATACAATCGATAAGCACATACTAGCGTAATACCACCATAGTATATTTGAATATGATTCTCTCTGTAGCTTTTGATTATAAATCGTTCTCCACCTCTCATAAACTTAAGTTTAGTGAAAAATTTTTAAGGATATGAATTTTTTAAACAACTTGTGAAGAAAAATCCTTCTGTAACTGACACACTCTGTAAATCACAACTGTAACTGACGCTGGTCTATATGTAAACAGTCCAAACATGTTTATTGAATGATTTCATAATTTTCAATTTCGCCAAGTAATGAGTTAAGGCAGGGGTCTGACCAGACATTTTGTGAAAGGTCCGTTTTTTGTGAAATTGTGAAAAAATGACTCATTCTTTCAACCAGGGTCCTGCTTTAATGAACTTGTGCAAATAGGGTCCGGTTAGAGCAAAAACCTTTAAGGAGTTTTTAAATTTTAAATAGATACAAGATTAGGCTCAGCACTGTAAAATTATAATTAAAAAAATTAAATTTTAAAAAATAAACAGCAATTGCTGCTTCTAAATTAGAGATGCAACATACAAATATTTGCCATTTAGCCTATACTGCTGAACGCAGAATATTAATTTCGGACGAATAATGGAAGAATCGTCTGCCGAAGACAAAACTTAATTCGTTTACATCCATCTTTCTTGTTTTTTGCCCTTGAAAGGGTTTATTCGATTAACAAAATAATAATGAAGATGAACAAATTTGTGAAGGGTCCGATTTAAAGAAAAATCATTTTGTGAAGGGTCCGTTAACGGACCCAAATTTCTTCTAAACAGACCCTGGTTAAGGGCCGCACAACATTTTCCGGAAGAGAAGCGATAAGTATTGACTTTCGATGCCGCAATGAATACAGTTTTAATTAACTATTTCTAAGTAAAATAATATAAATTTGCATGAAATTTTAAAAGGTATAGTACTGTATGGTTTTTAATATTTGCAGAAATATAACTAATAATTTTAGATTAAAATCTGAATTACAGCACAAATTTAAAAAAAAAAAAGATTCTCAATGTTACGCGAAAATAAATGACATCTACTTAATTTCCCTGTATTTGTTATCAACTTTCTAGCGTAACATTTTATAAAAAAAATTACGTTTCAAGAGATAGTAAATGAACCGTAAAATTTCAAAATTTAAATTTTCATCTAGGAAATTTGACATAAAAAATTTAAATAAATCTGCTAGTTACGTAGTCTATCCTCGCCTATTTTTGTTAAGCACTCAGGTCACATAGGCTATTCAAGGGTAACAGGTTGCGTACAATATGAAAAATTTCAACAATACGGATGCTGATTATAAGACTAATATTTGTCTTAAATGTCTATTTATGGCATAAAAAAACAAAGTACGCTATTATGAATTAAAATAATCTAATACAATATTACATCTGATACAAATTAATATACTTTTGAAGATATTTTCATTAACGGCATTAAAATATGAATTTGAAGTTACTCTGATTAGTTACTCTCACATTTAAAAACCTATTTTATTACATATAAAAAGGGGTAAATTTGCAGAGACCAGCTCACTATTTGCAGGGGTCTGTCCAGACATTTTGTGAAAGGTCCGTTTTTCGTGAAATTGTGAAAAAATTACTCACATTCTTTCAACCAGGGCCCGCTTTTATGAATTTGTGCAAATAGGGTTCGTTATTGCGAAAAAAAAACTTTTTCAAGGAGTTTTTAAATTGTAAAGACATACAAGATTATGCTCAACACTGTAAAATTATAATTAAAAAAATTAAATTTTAAAAAATAAACAACAATTGCTGCTTCTAAATTAGAGATGCAACATACAAATATTTGGTATTTAGCCTATACTGCTGAACGCAGAATATTAATTTCGGACGAATAATGGAAGAATCGTCTGCCGAAGACAAAACTTAATTCGTTTACATCCATCTTTCTTGTTTTCTGCCCTGGAAAGGGTTTATTCGATTAACAAAATAATAATGAAGATAAACAAATTTGTGAAGGGTCCGATTAAAAGAAAAATCATTTTGTGAAGGGTCCGTTTTTAAGTTAAAATATTTTGTGAAGGGTCCGTTTTTAAGATAAAATATTTTGTGAAGGGTCCGTTTTTATGAAAAGATATTTTGTGAAGGGTCCGTTAACGGACCCAAATTTCTTCTAAACAGACCTCTAATTTGCGATCAAACATTTAAGGCTGGCTAGTATTGCTTCCTTTTTTTTTTAATGTTAGGATAACTTAAACAAAATGTATATAAATTATCATGCCTGAGTAAAACAACGAGTAAAAAAATTGATAAACGAGTACACTTAGCTCAAAAAAAGTTTGTGTCACTTTTTGCCACCAAAACCATTACTTCTGGGAACATTGAAACCCAAAGACAAACTTATTGATTTCATATTGTTATAAAAACTATGTTGCTATTGTATATTGCTTTCAAATGAGTTATGTAAATATTTTACCTATACTATCCAAGAAAATAGTGCTAAAAATATCTGAGTAATTGGAAGCAATGTAACAATTTAATAAAACTTAAATTCGCCATTTGAAACAGCTTAAGTTTTAAGTCTTATCAGGGGTCTGTCCAGACATTTTGTGAAAAGTCCGTTTTTTGTAAAATTGTGAAAAATTACTCATAATTTGTGAATATAAAATAAACGTTGAGTCACATTCTTTCAACCAGGGTCCGCTTTCGTGAATTTGTGCAAATCGGGTCCGGTCCGTTATGCTACTTTTTCAAGGAGTTTTTAAATTGTAAAGACGTACAAGATAATGCTCAACACAGTAAAATTATAATTAAGAAATTAAATTTTAAAAAATAAACAGCGATTGCAGCTACTAAATTAGTGATGCAACAAATAAATATTTGGTATTTAGCTTATACTGTTGAATGCAGAATATTAATTTCGGACGAATAAAGGAAGCAGCGTTTGCCGAAGACAAAATTTAGTTCGTTTACATCCGTCTTACTCCCCCCCCCTTCAGGGAAGGGTTAATTCGATTAACAAAACAATAATGAAGATAAAAACGGACCCTTCACAAATTTGTTTAAGTTAAAATATTTTATGAAGGATCCGTATTCATGAAGAGATATTTTGTGAAGGGTCCGTTAACGGACCCAAATTTCTTCTAAACATACCTCTGCTTATGATGGTAAAATATACCGAAAAGTTAATTTGAAAAAAAAAAGGCAAGTTTAGAAAAAAGTTATAAAACTAAACAAAATATCTGTTTCAGGATAAAATACATATGACATTATAGACATTAATAGATAGTCACGTTTTTGAAGAAACAATTTACGTTATCCACACACCTGGAATGTTCCTATTATATTTTTAAAAAAATTATTTAACATAGTAAATGATAAAAAAAAATTCAATATCTGTGCATTATTAGAACAAATTAGTAAAGCGAGAATCATCCGCTTTTAAGTCAAATGAAATGTTCGAGGGTTCTTACGATATATATATATTTCGATATATTATTTTTCAAATACCAATTATGTTCAGTAAAAAAACCAAGCACTGCATAAAGTTAAAAAAAAAATCTGCCACTATTCAAAACAAAGTTTCAAAAGGCTTTAAAAAGCAGCGCATTCAATATTAACAAATTTTCAAAACTAAAAAGCTTAAAAGATCCAACTTTTAGAAGGTCGTTCCTCCTAAAGTACTTGTCAACTTTCATTACAGGGGAAGCCTTAAAAATAAAAATCTGCTTAAGGTATAAGCAGATTACAACCGCAGGTGAAATGCTCCACTTAAAACACGGATTACTTATTCTCTTAGTAAGTGCGATAATTTTTATTCGAGATTAAGTGGAAGGTTTTTGTGTATCTGCTTTATTTCCACCATTCTGAGCGATCTTTAGAATTTGGTTGTGCTTTTCTTAATTGATGGGAACATATTTTAAATCGTTATGAATTTAACAGAAATATATTAAATTGAAACCAAAGATAATTTGAAATTAATTCATTCTAACTATAGACGAACTTCATTTTTCTTTTCCGAAAAAAATAAACTCTTGCACGCATAGTATTAGCTTTTATTTTTATTTTTAAGAAAAATGAGTGAATGCTGCTCCATAAAAAATAAAAAAAATAAATCTCGAAAAACGTTATCAGCAAAAAGATGTATATCAAATGTAAATACCATATTGCATACAGGACTAAAAATTGGTTTTAACGAATGAAAACTTAATGTATTTTCTAAGTAATAAGGTAAGGAGTCACTAATGAGACTTTTAAACAAGCCAAAATACTTCAGAGGAATTAATTTTAATCTAAAAATACTAATATTCCATTGAATTTACACTCTGCTTCCATGCAAATCTATCATTTAAAATTTGTAGTATTAAAAGCAAAAAAAAAAATTCAATGCAAGTAAACGCTTGAAGACTTACTCTTAACAGAAACAAAATGGGTAAATATATATAACGAATTAAACTTAAGCGTTTCTCGCCATAACCAATATACGTTATATTTTCATGTCAAATAACGAAGAATTTCACAATACCAGCTACATTAATGCTTAATAAAAGGTACAACGAACAATTACAAGGAATATATTTGGTAACATCTAGGCCTCTTAGCAAACTTTTAAGGTTTAAGTCATCTTAACTGTTTCGCGACGCTTTTCTTTTTTTTTTATTCCTTTTTAAACGTACAACTTCCCACTTAAAACGGATAATGAATGATATGAAAGTAAGGAAATATATTCTAAAGCTTTAATTTTCTATAATTTCATAGCCAGATTCTTTCTAATTCATAAGTTAAAATGAATACGCTGATTTTTTAGGCTAACTTAAACTGGCAGTTTATGTTTTAGATTTAATTGCATTTACGCACTAAATTTTCATTGAAAGTAGTTTTATAAATTTAATATCGTAAAAAATTTTGTGTATAAAAAATAATCGCTTGTATTAAAACGTAATATAGTGAGTTAAAACTTCATTGCGAAAGATCAATATACATGTCTGCAAGTAGTCTGGGTTTCCAAACGCTTGGTCACTTTAGATACTTGGGTTACTCGCAGATCTGTATAATATGCACGATCGACATTCGTGAAATATTTGCTACCTTAGTGGAATATATTTACTATTTTATATTATTAATTTTTTACTATTACTAGAAAAGAAAGAATCCGCCTCTTCAATGAAAGTTACTTTTTTGAATTCCCCAGAAAAAATTCATTTTTACGCTTATTCCACCATTGCAAACTAAATTCACGTGATTTAAAATCAAATATCACGTTTTCTATCTACGCGATTTAAGATAAAGCAGCACGTTTGGTATTTTCACTATTATATATATATATCAAATATCGCGTTTTAAAAGTCATTATGAATCGTGTTCAAGTTACTTAAACATCGTAATTCGTATTCACGCGATTATAGAAATAAATATAAAGATTCGTATTCAAGACATCTTAAAATCAAACATCAATACATTTAAGCTATTTCAGTTTAAATAAAATATCGCACATCGACATTTTTATTATCACGTTCATAAAATCCTGTGGATAAATACTTCTTACATAATTTTATTTTCTTGCTCAAATTTCTGGTAGTTTTTCAATTTCAAAAGTGTTTTTGCACTTAACATTTACTTTTTACCAAACGTATCCCTGTAAGTATGAATCATTAGAGTTCCATAATATTTGAACATTTTTAAAAAATATCCGTGGTTCTTCAAACAAAGGTGGTGACGAAAGGGTTCAAACTAGTTGCAAGAGTTAATCAATGCTTGCAGAAGGTTTTAATTTAGATAGTGTCCTCTGAAAATTTGCAATATCATCCAACTCTGGTCATTCGTATAACTAAATTCTTTAAGAAAAAAATAATTAAAAATAGCTAATTTAACTATTCATACAAACATAATTTTATAGATAAGTTAAAAATACGAAATAAAGTAAAAATCAACAGAATTTGTCTAATAATGCTTATTACTTAGACGTTAAAAAGTTATTTCTAATGATTTTTAATTGGATGCAGTTTATATGTGGGTCGCGAGTTTCACAAGCAGCAAAAGCATTTACTGCTCAAATAATTGAAGGGAAAAAACGCGTATATAAGGTCAATCATTAATGATACTATACACTTCCCACATATCAATATTTTATTTATATCTGCAATATAAAAAGATTGAGTTATGTTCATGCTTTTAACGAGATGATTAAACCGACATAATTAAATCTTTAAGAAAATCATTACGTGAAATTAAAAAATGCTTTCATGTTTCTGCCGGTAAGATCACGTAATTCAACTATCGTAGCTATGCTAAAATATACCTATTTAATTTCTAAACATATAAGCCGATTTACATCTTTCTAAAGGGCTTGAATCCAGATTACTAATTTTGTAATAATGCATTTGTTCTCATTCAAATAGTTAGCTGCTTAATGAACAATGACGCAAAATTCCTCTATAACGAAAAACATTGTAAGTCACAGCATAATTACGAGAAATAAAAAAAGTGCAACTTTAATTGCATACAGACACATTTTTTTAACGATTTAAAGCACCAAACTTCTAAAATAAATATTCTAAAACAGCAAAAAAAAAAAAAATAGCAATACCGTTGCCAAATATTATCAGAAATTGTTATAAGAAAGCAGAGCAAAATTGCACAAAAAAATATCAAGCATAAGCTTTGCAGTGCCATCTACTTTATTTTTTGACTTAAATTTTATGTTTTGAAATTGATGATTTTGTAATTGATAATTGAACAGCAATAGAAACTACATATTAAAAAAAAATTAATTTTCAATTAAATAACAGTTTAATGCCTCCTAATTTAATTAAAAAGTTAACTCTGTTAATCTTAAATCAGTTTTTAGAAAACATTATTTGATAGATCTAAAAAAGTTGTCAACGTATGTAATCAACACAATAGCATTCTCCACTGTTTAGATAAATTCTGACTTTAAATAAAGTATCAAAATATGTCATAAATATTTAATTTGCAAATTTGATATATGAGCAAAAACATAGATAAAATTCGGAGATAAAATTAATCATTCACATACCGCTAAACTTTATTAATTCCTAAAAAAAAAATTACTTGTTTATCATATCAAGGAGATTGTTCCATTGTTAATTTTCCTAACAGATTTTAAATTATCATGCATTATCGTACAATATCCAAAGCTTTCATAAGCATATCATTAAGTGACTAATATACAGTTGCAATATTATATTAACAGATTATATAAAAATGAATATGTTCAGTGTTTGTTTTTAAATCATTAAACTACTATGTTTACAGTTAAATCTGTTTAATAAAAATAACAATTACAGAAAATAAAAATCGTATGATATTAAATTGTAGTTTTTACTAGATTTTAAACAAAATTAAAATAAAAAAATTCGGAGAGAGATGAAAAATTATAGATTTAAATAAAATTTAATGATGAAATGAATAAAACTTATTCGGACAATACATAAAAATTTTAAAATCCATCATCCAATCTACACTGACTATGTAACTGTTTATCGCTTGTCTCCAATAAAATTCCAATTTAGATTTTAAATAAACTAATTTAGATTCCCTGTAGCTGTAATTTTGTAAAAATATCTTATTCTATATCTAGTCATTAACATAAATTCAATAAAGGCATACAGTGCAGTAAAATTGTCGGCCCTACGACAGATTAACAACAGCTGTCATTTTTATCAACAAACTCTAAAAAGTGCGTGACCATCTGTTTACTTAAAATCGAAAGTGAAGCAAATAACTTCCTCACTCAAAAAAGTGACAGATATTCATTTTTTACCTGCACTATAATCCAGCATAAATTAAGTCACATATTTATTTAAACGATAAAAATGTATATAGACCACGGTTTTTTATTTCAGAAAACTTAAGCATATTGCATTCAAATCTCGTTAAATTTTACAAGTTTTCTTTTTTTCTTTTTGTATATGCTTTCACGTCTACTTCAACAATCAGCAAAACAAAAATTAGCACTGCATTACGTCTAACATATTTTTATATTTTATGACCAGATTTAGATTTATCAAACAAGTCGCTGATTCTAGATATATAATATTAGCTAAACTAAAATCACCATGTAAGTAAACGTAACTTCTTTGTAAACAAGTATAATTTCATAACTAAAAGAAAGGATATAATTCTAACTCATTTTTGTGGTAAAGATTTCTACCTATTTCTGCGGAAAAATCGATGTGTACGTGTTTTCACTGCTAGGCATTAGCAAGAGAAGAAAGAAAACAGATAGACAACTTCAACGCTATGCGGAAAAGCAACTTTTATCAGATTTTAAGAGACTGCGAATATCGATGAATCCTTAAATTGCCATCTAAAGCGGTGAGCGGAAAAGCTAATTTAACAATATATATCAAACTAAAATTATGCAACCTCGTAATTTTCCATTTCCCTGAAATTTATTTTTTTAATAAACAATTATACGTCAACACAATCGCACACTCATCATTAAACAATTTTAATTAAAACTTAACGAGCTGTCTTTAAGGAATTAAAAATATAAAGACTAATATGAATCGTATACACTTAATTCAAAGATATTCACAAAATAGCTCTAAATGTTTCAATTCAGAGCGAAAATTTTAAGATTCATCCAAAAAAAAATATAAGCATAAATTTAGAAGTTTCTTAAATAAAGTTTTAATAAACGTACACGGTTTACAAAATAAATTAAAAGTTAAGTTTTAAGTATTAAATACAAATGTTTTTTAACTTAATCTTTACAACAACAGCGAGTCGCTAACTAGTTTTGTAAACCCTAACTTGCAACCTAAGCCGAAAAGTACAATTTACATTTATTCTGAAACTAAGGTTAAAAATATTAAATACTCAAGATTTAAAATGGAAGATAATAAATAAACACTAACCTTTCTGTTGTAGTTGCTTCACTTTGATATTGGATGCCACGTCCACTGAAGATTGAAAATAGTTTTCAAAAATATAAAGTTAACGTTTAAAAACGTTCTCACAAAGTTATGTATAAGTTATATAAATACTACGATTAAGCTAGCGAGCTCAATTTGTTAAAAGCAGCAAACTGAAGTTTTAATTCTTAAAAGGCTGGAAACATTTATCGCCAAACTTGCAACTTGGCAACTTTCTAATGCTAAATAAATTAAAGAGATCTCAAACCAAAACTGCGGTTTGAATTAAAGGAAATCGTTTTCTACTTTCTTCAAAGTGTAGAAACTCGCTAAAAATTCGTCAAAAGTCCTTTATAAGAAGATATAACCAGCTAACTATTACTGATAATTTCTACGTATGTAGTTAGAAATGTGAAATAGTAAAAAGGAAAAACGGTTCCGAAAAAATCAGAATGAATTAAAAAAACAACGAAATTGCTGCCGAAGTCGCTACTATCAAACACAACACAACTGCCTTCTGGATCAGTCAGGAACTAAATGTCAGGCCAAGGCAGCGCACAGCACGATAAAAGCGGACCGGAGCGCCCCTCATTATGTTAGTTTCCCTCCGCGAACATCATCCGTATTTTAACTCCTCCCACTTTTTCCCTCATTGCTTACATTTCTTTTTTAAAAAAGATAAAAAATCGAAAATATCTTCACAAAAAAAACTACTTATTAAGTTATTTTATTTTTGAAGCACCAGTATTTTTCTCATTGTCGTTTGAATATTTTTAATAGCTAGAATAGCATCGTGTTCGATTTTGCGGAAGGCTACAGGAGCGCTGTGGTGAAAAGACCGCCTTACATACTGCAAACGATTTTCGGGAGCATTTTTAGTGGTCAAGCAAATATCAGGAATGCAAATTTTCGTTTCATTCTTGACGATATTTCGATTGTTTTTTATCGTTTTCATTAGTAAAAAGTGAAAGTTAAAAGCTAGAGAAATCAACACTGTTTTGTTTTTTTGGATAAATTTATCTTGAATTCTTTTCATAATCTTAGTTTGAAATTATATTGATTGGGATATTTGGTTTTATCATGTCACTAGGTGTCACTAGTGTCCTCTAGCAACAGGGAATATTATGTGTATCCAAAACAACTCGTTTTCTTACGAAGCCTAAACGTTTGTTTTTCTCTTAAATTATGTTCTAAAAAAAATTAGTAAATCAGTTTCAGTTTGCTTTTTAAATTCCAACATTGATTTGTTTATTATATTTTAAGTCACTCTATCGATCTTTGTGGTTAATCTCGGCGCACGTTAACGCTGCCAACTACTGGAGAATGGGAGATTTTGAATCAGGTTAGTTAACAATACGAAATAAAAAAATTTAAATTTTTATTTTGTAGTTTAGATTTAGCTGAGTTAATTTTGACAGTCATAGCATTACGATATTTATTTAAGACACTTTTATTTGCGATGCATAAAAGTAAATAATAATTAAATAATGCAATTGTGAAAATAAAAATTACATATTTATAATAGGAAATAATAGGGAGGGGGATTAAAGAGCATATGAGTAAATAGTATATTAGAATTTTTTCGAGGTTTATTCGGGATTACTTTTGTTTATAATTCTTGGATCCTGACAATTTGAGATGACTTGAAAATATTAGTTTTACTAATGAAAAATTTTCAGAGAAAATGAAGTTATTTTTACAAGTAACATAAATTGTTGTTATAATATAAGAATTAAATTTTTTTTTAATTATATCACTTACATTTATTACGTTTTTATCGATTAATTATAATATTACGTTAATTTTTAAACTTAGTTCCCAAACACTTCATACAATGGAATTATGAGCAGCTATCAAACGAGAGCAATGACCTGAAGAATTCACGCACTCTGTAATAAAAATTTTATTTTTTAACTTTTCCATGCACCTTTGTAGCTAAAAATAATTTTTGATTTTGTGAAAAGCCAAAGGTTTTGTGATAAATATTTGGCTTTTTATAAGACCTTTATAATTTTTACAAAAACTCATAACATTTTATTAATAAAATACCAAAAGAAAAAATCTTACGATTAAGTAACAAAATCATAAAAATAGATATACATATGCTTAAAGTTCTTAACTAGAATTTAGAAAGTCGTAAAAAACTAAACTACAAAAATAGGAAATCGGAAAAAATAGAAGTTAAGTTCGAGTAATAATAATTGACTTATTTTAATTTCAAATCGTTATTTGAAATGCAAATTTTTTGAGTGTATCGAACAAGCAAATGAAAAGCTTGTTGCTAATTTTCCTAACTTAATAACCTATTTTATTTCCTGAATGCTAATAAAAATGTGTAACATAAAATAGCAAAGACTTTTTTAATGTATCCAAAATCGTTGCAATATTCGCAATTTTTTCATGTATAGTAGGTTAAGAGGAAACATGCGTTTACATTTCGAAAAATATGCATCTCAAACAAGCTGAAGTTTGAAATTTAAATCAAAAATTTTATTTTATTATTTAGATGTTAGAGATTTCGAAAACTTGTTTTACGCTTTTCAAAACTTAATATTTAGGAAGAGCTTCAGTTAAAATATTATTTTAAAAAAATGAGGAAGAATTTGTACAGCGAATGAAACAAAAAGTTATCAGCGGAAATAACTTCTGCTCTATTGGTCTGATATTCACATATTTAGCACCTTTACAAGGGTTAGGAGTCTGACGCGAAAGGAAGTTTAGGAATCTGCCACGAAAACAATGTATTTTCTTTGAATGAAAATTTCAGTGGATTAGGATTTTCGATCACCAAACTATGTAGGGAAGGTATTCGCTTATTGGAAAATAAAGTCCTAATAGTTTCGCCCAGAGAGCAGTCAATAGTCGACAAAAATTGTTAATTGTTTAAAAAATAAAAACTAATTTTTACAACATTTTAAACTCTGTCAAGCGCTGGCCTGATCGTAAAGACACGAATCCCAATAGAACACCGAGGTCAAGCACTACTGGCAGCTCTCAGTAAACGGGTGGGTGATCACTTGATAAGACTGCGAAGGGACAGAGGGTGCACAGTATCTGTCTTGTTCTACCGTAAAGTGATGGACTTCGCAAACAGGTCATCAATCAGACTATTGAAGAAGGGGAGCTACCCCCTTTGAAGAGGATTAAAATTGTGATGGCATGTCTTTGGATTATCCTCAGGGATGTTTCCGAAACAGATGCCGAAAGCCCATTGTGCAGCTCTAGTGCGACGTAAACAAAGTACCTATCTACCTACCATTTTAAACTTTGTAATTATGAAGGGAAAAATACAAAATTTAAACAAAATCGATCGAATAATTTTTTAGTTACTATATTTCAAAAGATACGGGTTTTTAAATTTTTATCTCTCATGAATTAATGAACTGATTTCATTTAAATTTTGTTTTTAGTTCCGAATCCACCGCAATATGGTGAAATATGCAAAAAGTGAATTTAACATGAAGATGTCTAAGCTTTCAACATTACTCTGGCTAAACTATTGGGACCATAGGCAATGATTCGGACTGTATATTCCAACTACGGCTACTTCCCATACTTAGATTAAAAATCCAAAGCTGTCGAAAGAAAGATATATTTATTTTAGAGAAATTCTTCTCTTAATCATTTATTAATTATAATTGAGGGCAGCTTTTTTAATCCTTAGTTCGAGAAAAGCAGATCATTAGAGCAAATTTTTTTTTTGGGTGATATTTTTTTAATTTTATTTATTTATTCATTTTTTAAAAATTTGTTTTTTGATTCACGGTACACACCTGAGAAAAAGACTAAATTAACAAGTTGAAGCAGTGCTGGCCACATGGGTTTTAATTCGAATCTTAGCTTTACTAATTTCAAAAATGTATTTCTTTTAATTAAAAATAAAATGACTTTTAAGGTACCATATTTTTTCTCCATAACCGAGACAGGTTTCAGATATTGGTAATCATGAATCGAAAATTAGTTCATCATAACTTACAATTTTTAATTTAATATAACGTACAATCAAACTTTTTAGAAATTTTGTAATTTATGGGCTTTTTGGATTGTTTTTTTTTTCAAAACTGAAGCTCAAAAGGCAATTATATAAGTTAATATTTAATATATTGCGCCAAAAAATTGCCAATATATATTTTTTGAAGGCGATAGTTTCGAATTTTTTGCAACATTATCAATGAAATGGTTGATGACGTAGACTTATTCTTGCTTAAATAAATAAAAATATATAACTGTTCAAAATGACAAAAGCATGATTTTAAGAGTTTTCATATTCCCTTTCCTTCGATATAAAAATTTATGTACTCGGGATTTCGAAGATGGAAACTTCTGGAAGCTTTCAACTCATGAAACACTTTTTTAATATAAAAAAGAAAACTAAAAAGGTGCATTACTGAATATGAGAAAAGAACGAATGACGTGTAGCTGATTATTCTATTAAAAATGATGAATGGAATATGGCAGAATATTCAGGGGTGCTTCATTGAATATTCAAGGAATATTTTATTGGAATACTATATATTTAATAAAATATTTAACAGATAAAACATTCACGGAGATAGAACATTTAAGAATATTTTAAAAAAATAAGCAATAAGTATTAATTCTTGGTGTTGTAATGTGTTGGCGACCATGAAATAGCAAAATGGTACTTCATTTTAAATCTTATTTAAAAAAATATCTTTGTTTAGCGTTAAAGTTTTCGTGAAATGTATGACTTACTGAAACTTTCTATTTCTCTTCTGCACCTTAATTCTTACTAAAATAAAAATTTAATTTCATTCTTTCAAAACACTAATAAAACAATTGCAGTTTTTTATTTAATTTTTCAGAGTAGAATGACTATATTATCTTGTATGAGACTTTCATGATCAAGATACATTTTTTTAATAAAAAATTCAATACGCAAATATATAAAAAAGGTGCATGTAAAATAACATTTTTTGTCGATTGAATCGATAATTTAACTACACAATTCAAAAAGTACATGTTTTCATTTTTAAAGTTTACACTTATACAGTTATTATAAAAGCGTTAAACAAAAATCGTGAACCAAATATTTGTACCGATTTCAATGCGTTTTGTCCCAACTGGATGAACTAATTAAACAAAAACTGTTCATAATCTATTTTTAAATGTAAAACATTGGAAACTGATGTCTATGAACTAAAAATAAGAAAAATATTGTTATTGTTTTCTAAGTTTAAAATTTTTAATCGAAGCACGTAAACATTGCGGAAAAACTTTGCTGTTCATTTTTTTACTTCATCAAAGTAATAATTTTAGAAAAAAAAAATTTTTTTCTTTAGATTTTTAAAGAAAATTGTTCGCTCTGCGTGGTGAAATGAACTGCAGTTTGCAAGACGTTAGTGTGGGAATTTTTAATAAATTTTTTTTTTACTTTAGAAGATGCATTTCTAACCTACCTTACGTGCAGGTATAAATTCTAATTGAATTTTGTGATAAAAACATAAATAAATAAATAAAATTCATCTATTTTTCAGTATTATGCATGAGTTTTCCATTTTCTGTGTTAAGAGTTTAAACCTTAAACTCTCAATCTATAACTATTTAAAATAAATATAAAGAGAGCAAAACTCTAACCAAATTTAAATCGCAACTTTCTTTAATGAAAAAAAAATCATTTCATAATCGCAAATATTACTAGACATTCCTTTAGTTTAAAATTAATAATATTAGCACTTTATTTACGTCATACTAGAACTGCACAATAGGCTATTGGTAATGATCTTGGGAATTAAATTAATCTTTTGCCTTTTCAGTCAAAATTTGTTTTACCTTTTATACGTGTAATAATTGAGTTGAAGATGATCTTGTGTGGCAAGTTTTGGGTATTGTAAAATAGTGGGTGTCGAAAGTAAAAAAGTAATTAAATAAGATTAAAATAACCAAGTTCAAGTTTCTTTCTCGCAACCACATTTACTCTATATCTTTTTACTTAAATTTTATTTTATAATCAATTCAAGTTTTGACTCGTCTATTTTGTTTAAAAAAAATTTCTTAGCATTCTCACATCTCATTAAGACATAGCAGATTCTGTAATTTGAGTCTGAGAAAGACAGTTTGTAATGATTTTCGTTTGAAACTTAATGATAACCGAATTAAAAAATATTTTTATTATGATATACTGTATGGAATTTAAAAATTTGCTGCATACAGTGAGGTTTATTATAATTAATTATCATTTTTAATAAACATTTTTATTAAAAAAAGCACAAGAGTAAAATTTTTATTCATTTTTTTAAAAGCCATTTTCTGGTGTATGAGAATTTTATAATATGCTTGTTCTAATTGGTTATTCGAATAGTATAAGAAAAATTGAAAATT